ATACAAATACTTTTTTTTTTGTTCTTTTACAATTAAGGATTTTGATAACCTATCGGTATACTTTTTAAGGAGACACGTGGTTGTGGTGGTGGGTTTTTAATGGGACAACTTTGCCTGTTACTCTTTATCTTATTTGAGACACAAGATTTGGAAGTAAAATGTGGCCATAAGAAAATTAAGAAGGTAGGTAGGTTACTACTAGATGTTATTAGTAGGTAAAGTTAGAATCAAAAAAGTGTTAAGTGTTAAATAAATCACTTGCCACGATTACACGCAATATAAGTAGTTATTTTATGTTTAAATACAACTTGATGATTCGGATATAATACAGCAGCCGTAGTCACAAGGGTACCTACGCTCGCATATATTTCACGTTGTACACCGCCAAAAGTGTTTTATTTAATGTATTCCAAATTGATGTGTTATGTGGCTTACTAGTACAAATTTTCATACGGAAAATGAACTGTACCAACGAATTATTGCAAAATTAAGTAGATCAGACTACATGAATTTAAGATATTTCGCACACTATACAAAAAATTATGACGATCTCATATCTCAAACGTGTATCTTCGCGCCTATCTCCCATATAACAAGATAAGGCGACACCCGAAAAAATATTTATTGTGTTTACCCAAACGTAGGTGGTAATACGAGCACTTATTCAAAATAACTCGCCGGTATGAGGGGACGTCATTCTTGACGATAATTCGAAAAAAACACTTAATAATATTATTGGGTTCTAATTTCGTTTGTTAATCGCAACTATAAAAGTGTCAGAGGATTACAATGGAGGTGCTAACGCATTCAATGTAGGGCGCTAGTGTTATGTTACTTTAAAAAATAACGAATTCCCTCAAAGCAAAATGCTCTTTGAGTTGTGTGCAATACGACCTAATTTAGTCTATCGGATTGTAATAAATGCTTGCTCAAGTGTCGCAATGGATTGATATTATGCATTAATCGGTTTTGTGGTTGAAGAATAGGCAAGTAGCTATTATTAGCTCCTGAAGTTATTTTAGGATATAGTGAAAATATAAAGGAGCTTTAAGATTTCTCATTGTGTATATCTAACTTGACCATATTCATACGAATTATTAAACTATACGTTCTTGATATATAGAGAATAGTAGCTATATATATATTCTTTAGTATATATAGTCTTCTAACTTCATAAAGTTAACTTGTTATTTTAAAATTGGCATATTCTCAAAACACAGGAGATTACCTATCAATAATGTAGATTTATAAAAAGATGGTATCGATGGTATTTTCTTGATTGTTTAACAGGTGCGACAAGAAGGAAGCTAGTTTATCTAAAAGGTCTAAGTTCTATGCCTCCCTGCAATACTTATTCGTTTTCATATCCCTTAAAAAGAAGTTTATTCACAAACAAGGGAAGCTCGAGAGCTGCAAAGTCGCGCTGGAAGCCGCCGTCGCTCGCCTCCGCTGATTTGCATAAAATTATCACAAAATTATTATGGACGCCGCACAGTTAATACCTCCTTTGTGACGCCAAAATATTTTGCGAACAGTTTTCCACACAAAGTCTGTAATTCAATATTGAGGCGGCATTTAACGAGAAAGCTATTTACATTCTAAATACGCCCGAGTTCTGGCTTCGTCTTGAATTTGATGTCGCAAAGTTTACGAATATTTATTTACACCCTACCGATGTATAAAACATGCCGAAAACATTTTAGGATGGATCTTTAAAAAGACTTGTGTGACAAGTAGGTAGATACCTACAAGATAAACAAAAAAGAATTCAGATTTAACAATATAAACTAAAAAAAACCTACCTTATTAATCGACTTTTCAGTAACATAAAAATTTATGTAGTACTCAACGCCGTACTTAGGAAGTGGGTATTGTGTGTTACTACTTAGTAAGTAGTATTTAATATTTATTATCCTATATATACTTATACACTATGTATATAGTGTATAGTATTAGTTACCAGGTGCTGAAACTATAAACAATAACATCGTTAAATAAACTTAGGGCTCCATTGACGAACAATTGCTATAGGTGCAGTAAAGTGGAACACAAAGAGCCACAGTGTGGGGCGGAGCGCCCCGCCTTCGCATCTCGGGGTCTCGGCAATTAGAACAACAATCAGAAACTCCGCTTGTAATAAATCAATCTGCATAAATTCAAATATTGTAAATACGTTAACCGTAGCTAAGAAGTCATCTGACGGTGTTGTCTTGTATTGAGATACATAAGCAAACTTGCCTCGAATTAATGTACCTATATGTGTAATTATAAATCCTATATTATTTAAATAAAACGGTTTAAATGGATATATTAGTTAAATTTATTTGAAAATGATTTTTAATCGCAGTCGGCTGCTGATCAGTTTCAAATAAGTTTAACTAATAAGTATATCGCGTTTTTAACCGTTAAAGTGTTTTATTGATGTTACTATGCGTTAACTTAACAAGTATTTAATCCTATATTAATTTGGTTAAGATACGCTATATTCAAATTAGCTATACCTAGGTTTTATTGTGATGACTTTTTAAGTGTTTATACATCTTTAGCTAAATTAGGCCTTCATATACAGATCATAAATATTTTTGGTATAAACATACCAGAACTATACGTACACCTACACTATATTAGTATATTTACTATATAATATTATAAATGCGAAATAACTCGGTCTGTCTGTTACTCTTTCACGCCAAAACTGCTGTACAGATTTGAATGAAATTTGGTACCCAGATGGTCTAACCTGAGAAAACAGTCTTTTGCGAAAAGGGGTGAAGGGAAAAGGGGGGTGATAGTTTGTATGGAAATTCGTGGTTTTTGAAGCTAGAACAATGAATTTTTTCTTTGGCTTGGGATGGGAGTTCTAGGACTAATGTGAGATGAAAGTGTTGCGGCAAAGTACAAAAATTAAAACAAAGATTGGCTGCGATAAAAGCGCAATTAAATAAATTAATAAACAGCCTAAAAAATTAAAAATTCTACCTCAAGTCACGACCACGCGAACAAGTCGCGGGCAACTAGTATATAAATATAAACGTAAACTTATAAGAGATAATGAATATAATTTGTTTACATAATTTTTTGAGTAAGTAGTTAATACGATGTATAGTATAATAGATAAAAGTGACTAAATTACGTCTAGAAATTCTAAAAATAGTTGTGGCATATCGTTTTGACAAAGACCTAAAAATTAGAATTCGCTCAGCGTACGTAGAGCGTCGAGCCCGCGTTGTTGTTTGTCGATCAATTCGTTTGTTTTACGTTTCTAGTACACGCGCGTGCAACCAATCGAATTATAATATATTAGCTGCGTATTTGTATTTTAACCATTTTTCTATAAAACACTGCAACAATTTAAAAATATCACAGCAGTAAGCGCGGGTTCGAATCCAGCTTGTATCTTTATTAAAAAACACGAATTAGCTTCTGACGTTAAAATCGTCTGCTTCAAAAGAACTTGTTTAAGCTACGTGTCGTAGACATCAACGTATTTTTATAAAATGCAAGCGCTGCATTTTGATAAAAATATAAAAAATAAAAACTTTTTTTTCTCAGTAGTGTCTGTAATTCACAATAGTAGTACATACACATTTAAATAAGATACGTTTGACCGTGTAAAACACGAAAATATATTTTCGTTTCCCCACTCAGGGTATTTAGTGTAGAAAGTTTTATTTGAATGTTTCCTTTACTTTTGATCAAATTGACTTTTTGAGGTCAAACAATAAATACTAAGTATTAGCACGTTTATTTGGCAACGTTAATTCTTCCTACACGCTGTAAAAAGTACCTAATGAACGAAATTTTGTTACTAATTCTTATGTAGCGAATTTTATTTCAGCATGTACCATCTTCGTGAATGCCCGAAAAAACATCACTGTAAAAAAATAAATTGGAATCAATCTAGCTGTATACTTAACAAATGGGTAAATATTTCCTGTAATTTCCTTTTTCCGAAACACTGCTTCACAAAGCGAAAGGAGACACAAACAAGATGGCGTATTTAAATGGGCGGCGACGGCATTGTTGGCGCGAAATGCCAGTTCGTTCTGCGCTCTTCGCACTCGCACTGAAAGCTTTATTTTCATTCCTCGCTCGCTATGTTAATAATGCTATATGACAAACATATCTTGAAACGAAAGCAAGCTTTAAAAACAGAATGTTACAGCCTAATTTAGAATGACAAGGTATATACAAATTGTCACATGTGTAACTGTTGCACACTCTTCCTTCCTTTTTCCTCTAATACGATGAAGAGTATTTTTATATGTTCATCTCTCTCTCGCACCTCCTGAGAAGTAATGTGTTATTGCTTGTTGTGATATCTTCGAAATAACAGGGAAGTACTCGGGTACGAAGTTGTCATTTGTAACGGTTTGAAGTACGGTTCGCAAAAAAGTTACCCGCCCTTCAATTCATATTGTTTTTAGTAACTATTAATTGCATTAGATGGTATGTAGTAAATGGGAGTAAAAATGATTATTATCGATTTTTTATTTAAACGGTAGTGAGGTATGAAAACACATTTTTGAATTGATATTACATATTTTGAGTATCTATTATCTGTAATAAATTAATAATAGATACTCAAAATATGTAATATTCGTTAAATATACAGTGTAAACTCCATGTAACGTCACTCTATTTAACGACAAACTCTCTTAAGCGTCGAAATCAATTGGCTTTGGTTGGTTTAGTTTGTTTTTCATACAATGTTTCACTCTATATAGCATTACACCCACTCTCAATAACGACAACAATTAAGTTGCTAAAATTAGTAAAAACTGCGCAGCTGTGTACGATCTATTGTCGCTTTATTATCCTAGCCCGCAATAAACTCGACTGTCGGCATCATGCATACCGAACTTTCTAAGAAATTCATTCTTTTGTTTACAAATTGGGATTGCTTGCACGTGTAGACTGTTATTGACCATGACTAGGAGTCATGGATTATCTATACCTTATCATATTCTTAGTTGCTCACAAACTTGCAAACTGTAAACATGGCTACTAAAAGAAAATCACTGTGTATTGACGAAAAAGTTTTACTGATACGCGCAATAGAAACGGGAGAGAGCGTTCAAATAACATTCTTTCTATGCACATAACTATTAACAATAGTCAGAAATAAACTTTTTCTTTTTCTAATTCTGATGTTTCTTCTCTCCATTTAACGACAACTCTCTATAACGCCATAAAATGCACAGTCCCTTCAGTGTCGCTATATAGAGTTTACACTGTACATATATTAACAGGTGAGATATTAATCGATGTCGAATAACCAAATCATTATACTTAATTATTCTAACTTCTGACATATATGTCAGCGGTATTTACTTTGCACTCAGTACCGGTGGACTCAAGGCAGGGTGCGTGGAGTTGCAAAGCCGCCAGAGTGGGGCGTCGCTAAACAAAAACACGTATACAAAGACCGAGCGCGCGCTGATTGGCCGATGCCAGATCGTCGGCCGCCCCTCGCCTCCCTCCGCAGTGAACGTCGGCCGGCTTGATCAGCCGCAACCAGCATTCGTGCATCGACTACCGCCGCAACATGTGCAGCGGAGCCGAAGGAGGCCCGTGGCCGCTCGGCAAGAACGCGCCCGCCGTCACCGCCGCCGCGATCGACCACTACCGTCTCCAACTCTACAACTATGCCGTTGCTGAACGCTTACGACTCTATCCGCCTTCCGTCGCGCCGTGCTACGGGCCCTACGGACCGCGGCTCGCTCTATCCATGTCTCTCCTGCAGCAGCGAGCCTTGCAGCCAGAAGAACCGAAACCTCAGCACAGTTACATCGGACTCATCGCGATGGCGATTCTGAGCTCCCCAGATAGGAAACTTGTCCTATCCGATATTTACCAGCATATCCTCGACAACTATCCATATTTTCGGTCACGCGGCCCCGGGTGGAGGAATTCGATACGACACAATTTGTCACTGAACGACTGCTTCGTGAAGGCGGGGAGATCCGCCAATGGCAAGGGCCATTATTGGGCGATACACCCTGCGAATATCGAGGACTTTAGGAAAGGAGACTTCCGGAGGCGCAAAGCTCAGCGGAAGGTTCGAAAGCATATGGGATTGGCTGTAGACGACGATGGAGAAGATTCCCCGTCTCCGCCGCCGCAATCTCCTCCTCCGACTGCTTTACCGTTACCGTTTTGGGGTGGAGGACGTGTGCCGGCGGGTGTCCCTACTCGGAAGAGGCAATTCGACGTAGCTTCATTGTTGGCTCCAGATGACGCGCCGGATAAACGTGCCCGACGCGACAGCAGTTGCGAGGAGGAAGTGGAAGAAGATATCGATGTGGTAGCCAGTGATCAAGAGGATGTGAAATCGGGGGAAGACGAATCGCGAACGCCGTTAGCGCCGACAGCGCACTATCCGCTACTCGGTGGCTGGTGGCCAGCGCTGGATCCAGCTTTGTTGCAGCAACTGAGGAGACATACAGCTTCGGGAGCATCGTCAGCCCCGCCTAGTCCTGATCAACAGCGCCCACCTGATACTTAATCACACAAGTAATATCTCGTAATGTAGTGTAGAATTTATTGGAATGTACAAAATGTGAATAGTGTTCTATTATTATGTAATTCGCAGTTGTCCCTTTCTGATTTCTTATTTTTTTATTTTCTCCTATTGATCCTACGATTATCTCTGTACATAATGCAAGGTGTAGTTATATTGTATTGTAGATTATTGTACATTTCAGCTTAAAGACGCTTTTACCATAATGATATTTAGGTCTCTCTCGGTTCTATAACATTTAATCGAAGTCTGAAAACGACCAAGCTATTGTAAATAGTAGTTCGAAATAGAATCATAATCACGTATTAGGTATGTAATATTTTTGTATATAATAAATGCAGGTTATCATTGTTATATCTAACGTAAAACTTATGTTGTTACTAGAAATATGATATAAGTAAAATTACCCACTACAAGTCTATAAAATAAATAGAAGTATAAAAATAGCTGTTTTGATTTTACACCCCGTTTATAATAGTTATTTGAGACTCTTACGTCTTTATTACTTAGGTAGTTAGGTTTTAAAGTAACTCCTAATACAAGTCTTAGAGTTTAATTCGAACTAGTAGTAGGTACCTGTTCTGAGTGTCATGTAGTAAGTCAATATAACAATAAATTAAACTTTAGGCAATAAATCTGATTCATCAAATCGCTTATAAATAATAAAGTACTTTACCGACTCATTTAGAGAATTCAAAGGTCGAAGGATTTTTTCGTTATACACGGTTAGGTATACGGACTGGAAGTGGAGGACGAATTATAAATAAAACATTTTCTTCATTGTGTGTTTCATGAAAGTATATACAGCCAGTACGTATTTATTTATTATTTTGTGACTAAGAGGCATTAGGCTTGTTAAATAGTAGATACTTAACATAAACTATAATATGGATTATGGACTAACTAAACGATTCCCTATAGTTTAAATAAAACAGTTTTTTCGTAATCGTTCAGAGAACGGCGTTATAATGAGTTTATCGACGGTTTTTAACCATCAAAACTGTGATCATCTCTATATTAGAGATCTTTTATCTCCATAAATAGTTTATTCTATAAACCCACCTGAGTATACTTTGAATTGATTTTATAGTAACTCTCTTTTCTCCATTTAGATCGTGACTTCTGTCTAAAACAGATTTTAAAACATTTTACACAATATCACTAATAACTATTAATTAATATTATAAACGACAATTTAGATTCTAACATTCTTCACACAATTTTGAACTCGATATTCAAGTAACGAAACAAGCTTACGTAATTGAAGATAGCGTTAAAAAAGAAGTCGTTAATAACGACCGTTTCTCTTCATTCATGATAATATGTAATGGACATATTTGTAAAATATTTTTTCAACAATCATTCTATCTGTACACGCTAACGATTTTAAATTACCTTTTTGCGGTGTCCGAACCAGTTTTTAGAATACAATCTATATTAAAACCAATTAAGAATATATCTTAACGAGAATTATATGTCAGTATTAATAAACGAAAACACAATGAGGCGCCTACCAGGAACAAATTATTTATTTTTAATTGGTGACAAATTATTTGTTGTTACTATGAATTTATTGTTAGTTTTCTTTCTGCGGTTTTCAGTACGAAGTAATTGTATGTGCCCATAGATAGCTAACACCTTTATTTAAAATTATTAAGTTACTTTGAGATTCAGTATACTTAATTATTATACACTAAATACCTACTGTGCCTCTTCAATAATTACTACGCCCCTTAATATTCGCCTTGGTAGCACAATGGTTAACCGCGTTGGTCAAGTTTGCATTAACTGCCATAGGTCCTGGCTTCGAAATGTTATTTTTAATTGTAAGTAGATTTCAATGTTAACATTTAAAAAGTGTTTTCAAAATTAAACTTAAGTTGAATCTATTTTACACTTACATTTACCATAAAAATGACAATTTCTTACATGATATTATAACTGGGGTTTGACTTGGCATCGATTAGTGGAGCGATAGAAAAAATGTTCCTTCTACATACAAGTAATGAGTTACTAATTTAGTAGTTTTAGGCTAATTCTTACATTATCCTGATTAAAAAAGGTCTAATCGATTCCTTATTCCTTATAATCTGGTCATTATCAGTACAAGGTATCGTTCCCACGTTTTAAAGAACTGATTTACAAATGAATCACCATCCAAGACTCGATATAAGCTTATTTGTTTTTTCCTGCAATTCTTAATGACTGCTATATCTGCGTGTGAATCGTTAAGTCGGCATTATTTTTAGGTAGGTTTTTCAAAATAACACAAACTGCTTGAAAGCGTAGAATTTTTAGAAAATATATAGATACACCCATCTAATTTTTCTCTTTAAATTTTCTTTGGCGTTAAAATATGTTATTAAATTTATTAGTTGCTATGCCTTTGCAAGAGATTTTTATACAATTTAGTTTAGTTACTTATCATATTTTAAGCTGATAAGTTTGTTTGTTTGATGAAGATGAATGTTATTTTCTTTGAACGCATTTATCTCAAGAACTATTGGTTCGAATTAAAAAATATATATTTTTGTCTTGGTTAGAATATTTATCGAGGGAGGTTTTAAGCTATAAAACATCAGGCTGCGTCTATTAGGAGCGATGCAATAATGGGAAATGTGAATAAAACGGGAAAACGGGCCTGCACTACGAAAATCGTTCGAGACATCCAAAAAATATGTATGAAAGAAATTGTAAATCTTTATATAATCTAAAAAAATATCTGTGACAAATGATGCATATTTTTTAAGACTGTCTCACGAGAACAGTTTTTGTGTTGATCAAAATTTGTTCAAACACACCTTTTCCAGATCGCGAATACAATAATTAGGTATTATATTACCTATATTAATCGGTACATACTGAAAGTGTGAGACATATAAATGTACCCAACAGTCGCATAATTATGTTTTAACCGCGCTGACTGCGTTATCCTGGTTAACATATAATAACACAAAACAAATCGAAAAAGGAATAAACATTTTAACCAAATAGACTTTAATAAATTGTGTAAGGCTTTTACGGCCATCGTTCAGCATATCATTGTCTTTCGGGCCGTTCGGATTTAAGATATAATTAAATTCTTCGAGTAATCGAGGAGTTAACATCTCATGATGATGCCGTCCGGATAGCGAAACGTCGAGAAGCTCTTTTCGCTCACGTCGGTCGAACAGTCCGAAAGACAATGCTATGACAAATAGGCTCTGCTTACAAAGTATTGATACGGACACTATATTCTTTCACTGAGGCGGAAAATTCTTATGACTGCATTCACATTTTCTACAATTTCCAACTCTAATAATTAGATATTTAGTTTTTATTTATTATCTAAGGTGAGAAATCTATATTGGTTGCAAAGGTTTTAAACATTTTGGGTTCACCGATTTTATCTGCTAATCCGGGCTCGGAGCATAATAGTCAGGAAGTTGACGCACTCTTTCCTTCAACCTGTTTGTGGTTTACGGATTATCACTAAGCGCCATTGTTTCGCCGATTACTTGATAACATTCACTTCAACAAAACATGCCATACAAATGCGTAAGAATGGAACATGTGAATTTTTTCATTTGGGAAAGAGGATATTGAAAAGTCAAAACGCTTTGTAATAGCTATTGTGTAAATCGATAAATGTACACAAAATAATATTTTTGTGTTCGTCATTACGTTGAAACATACATGCGTCGGATAATTTTCCAGACATTAACATCAACAGAATAATTATCCAGTCTTTTTTTTCTTTGTTATCAAAGAGTTTGTTATATTGTTCTAGGTTGCCAACGTTTTTTATCTTTTATGCTGCGTTTTGAGACTAACAAAAGTGCTGTATAACCAGTGTTGTTTAACGCATGCTTCGTGGAGAGGATGTTTGGAAAGCCAGGATGCTACAGAAGAAGATGGCTGTAAGAGTACGATAAGTGAGTCAAATGACACACTGCGAGCGGCGAGACGGGGATCAAGTTCAATTCTTGTCATCTTGTCTCAAATGGGCATAAGTGCTGGAAGTTTTGGAGTCATACAAACGTGTTCCTAGCCGTAGCGGGCTCGTGGTGGGTTCAGTGGTTCTGTTCGACTTTGTCTTCAAGGAGATGTAGTACAGTTTACCACACTCCCTACCTCACGATTGCCTAACGTATTACGTATTCACACCATCAGTTAAAAAAAAAGGTAAGCTGTATTTGTCACTTCATTAGAGCTTCAAGGCAAACCTTAAATGTCAACCTTATCAAATGTTCTAGAGCAGTGGAATAAATGGTTAATAGAACCTTAGATAATCGTCGCTATATACTTGTAGACATCAAACAAAATCGTGTGCTCTGAAAGGGTCCATTAGGCCAGCATTGAGGTGAGAGTGACCGGGGTCCTCGAATTGCCTCCGAATCTAAACGCTTCCAATTCCAAGTGACGACAAAAGGCGACTTTTAGCGGCAACAATGAGTGAATGAAGCAAATTACGGCTTTTTCGCCTCTTGAAAGCGTCCATCGGTGCGGATAGCGCGCATTGTCGAACGGTTTGCACGCCGAAACAAACGTTAACAATAAACAGTAAAAAGGAAAGTGTATTTTGGAGTGCGTTTGCACAAAGGGCGCGGCGTAATCGGTGTTAATGCGTGGAGTCGGCGAGCATTCTGAATGGCGCCGCGGGAGACGCCTCGCTATTTTTATAACAAATCATCGACTTGATTATTGACGATTGTTTTCTAACGGAATGTTTCTTTTTGAATTCTGAATTGCAAGAAAGGGGAAGGGGTAACCGAACTACTTCGAATGCTATGCCAAATTAATCTACAATATCACGAAATGTATGAACTCTGACGAGTCGACGAAAGCAGGCTGTCAAAGATATTTTATCCAAAAAGAGGACTTCTGTTTCTATCGAAACATTTAAAAACTAAGGATCTGAAAAAATAGAGACCCACTTTCAATATGAATAAAAAATTATCACAATGCAATCGAAAACATAAATAGTTCATTTAGTAATAAATAGT